TAGGGCAGCCCATAGGGAGCTCCACCGAAGGCCCCAGTGGGGGTGTTCGCATGCGGTTCCCCCACCCAGGGCAGCGTTCGTGGCCCCATAGGGAGCTCCACCGAAGGCCCCAGTGGGGGTGTTCGCATGCGGTTCCCCCACCCAGGGCAGCGTTTCGTAGCCCCATAGGGAGCTCCACCGAAGGCCCCAGTGGGGGTGTTCGCATGCGGTTCCCCCACCCAGGGCAGCGTTTCGTGGCCCCATAGGGAGCTCCACCGAAGGCCCCAGTGGGGGTGTTCGCATGCGGTTCCCCCACCCAGGGCAGCGTTTCGTGGCCCCATAGGGAGCTCCACCGAAGGCCCCAGTGGGGGTGTTCGCATGCGGTTCCCCCACCCAGGGCAGCGCTTCGTGGCCCCATGGGGAGCTCCACCGAAAGCCCCCGTGGCGCAGTTCGCATGCGCTTCCCCCACCCAGGGCAGCGTTTCGTGGCACCATAGGGAGCTCCACCGAAGGCCCCAGTGGCGCAGTTCGCATGCGGTTCCCCCACCCAGGGCAGCGTTTCGTAGCCCCATAGGGAGCTCCACCGAAGGCCCGCCCCGGTGGCGCAGTCCGCATGCGGTTCCCCCATCCAAGGCAGCGTTTCGTGGCCCCATATGGAGCCCCACCGAAAGCGGCACCCACAACGCGTTACCAACAATTGCTTATGGTTGGGTCTTTCGCCAGGATAATTTGAGGGGGGGCTCAAGGACCAGCGCACAGACAGGGGACTTTGTAAGATGCTTCGGAATCCTGCGGAATCTTGCGGGCTCACAAGCCAGATCCTAGCAGCCCCCCGATTTCTGACGAGTCTTTCGGAATCCGCACGAATCGTGAAGATTTGGTCGAGAAAAACCTACGATAATTTGAGGATCCTCCAGAATTTTTGGAGCCCTCAGAAATCCTGGTGTGTCCTTTGGGGTTCTCGAGAATTCTCCCAAACGCTGTTGAGGAATCCTTGGGAATCCGACGGGCGACTTGGGATTTTTTGGGGTTCCTTCGGAATCCGTAGGAATCCTTCGGAGCCCTTAGGATGGCTCGCGGACCAGCGCCCAGATTGGGGCTTTCGGAATCACCAGGGACACAAAGAACACGGAGGAATCCTTCAAAGGGCTCACGGACCAGCACCCGAACCAGAGCCTTAGGAATCCTGGGGGGTCCTTGGGAATCTCTCGCAGGGCTCGCGGGCCAGCACCCAGACTGGTGCCTCGGCAATCCGAATGGATCTTTGGGAACCCTTAGGAGCTCTTAGGAATCCATCGGGGTCCATCGGAATCTTTTGGGACCCTTAGGAGTCCGAGGGAATCTTTAGGAATCCTTCGGAATCCCCACGGACCCTCAGCAATTCCTAGGAATCCTGCGGATGTCCAAGGACGTAGAGAGATTCTCAGGATTCTTTCGGGGCCTTTAGGGGTCCTTCGAGACCGGGGCTGTGGGAATCCTCGGGGGGGGGGCATTTTTGTGAATCTGTTTGGGGTCCTTAGGAATGATGGGGAATCTGAAGGGATCTTTACAACTCCTTAGGGCTAGCGAGGGGTATTATGGAATCTCCGGGATCCTTCGGGATCCTTTGTGGATTCCCTTAGAATTTATAAGATGGCCCGCGGACTGGCATTCAGACCAGGCCCCCGGAGTCCTTCGAAATCCGTAAGAGTGCCCACGGACCAGCACCCGAACCAGAGCTTCAGCAATCCGTTGAACTCTTCAGGAATCCCCTTGGGAATCTTTCGGAGACCATCGGACTCCGAAGGGGTCCTTCGGAATCCTGCGGGATTTCTTCAATCTTCAGAACCCTTTTCAGAAACCAATGAGATCTTCCAGAAGATCTCACGGACACCTTTGGGAACCCTAGGGGACCTGCGGAATGCTTTGGGATCCTCAGGAAGGCCCATGGACCAGCACCGAGATTGGGGCCTTGCGAATCCTCTGGAACGCAACCATACGGACCAGCATCCATACGAGGGCCCCAGCAATCCGTAGGAATATGTGTTGGCATCTTGCTGGACCCAAAGGAATCTTCAATAATCCTTCGGGATCTTAAGGGTCCACCAGGATCATGTGAGATTCTTGCGAATTCTTGCGAGACTTTCGGAATTTCCACGGCTCCTAAGAAGTGCAACTGTAATCTCAGGAATCTTCAGTCATCCGAAGGGATAGTTCTGAATTCTCAGGAATCTTCGGAGTCCTCAGAAAGGCCCACGGACCAGCACCCAAACCAGGGTCTTAGGAATGCTTTGAATGTGTTGGAATCTACATGATCATTTGTGATCAGCATGAACCTTGACGAATTCTCAGGAATCCTTCGGGATCTTTTGGAATCCTTAGGGATTTGGAAGACTCTGAAGGCTTGTGAGGAAGCATTAGGAATCCCCGGCAACTTTTAGGATGGCTCACGAACCAGTACCCAGACCGGGGCATCAGCATTCCTGGAGAGCTGTTTGGGTTCCGGAGGGATCTTCCGGAATCCAGAGGGCCTTCGTCAGGAATTGTTAATTGTGTTCTGGGAATCCTTGGGGATTCTTGGAAGTTCGAACAGGTCCGTGGGAATCCGTAGGAATCCGTCAGGGTCGTTTGGGGTTCTTTGGGATCCTGCGAGATTTTTTGTTATCGCCCAAGCATTTTCCATTGGTGGAGGGCCGAGGATGAAATCTGAAATGCCGCTCTGCCCAAACCATCGGCGCCCGTCAACTTCCCTACCCCTCTCCCCTGTCCTTTCCTTGTCCGTCTCCTACTTCCCCGCTTCCGCCTCCACCCCATCGTTACTTCCGCCTTCTCCTGCACCTCGTCCTCCAAGGCTTATTTTCCTTTCCTCTGCCTCCCTCTCCCCCCGTCCCGCTCCACCCCCCCGTCATTGTCATCAGCCGCCCGCCCGCGCGAATCGCTAATGGCAGTGGGGGGTGACGCATTATTTTCTGGAATCCATGTGCACTCCGCCCTTGACCAAGCCCACGCCGTCGCCGGCACGCCAATTAGAGTCGCCCTGTCTCAATTCAGACCCCTGTCCCCCATGTCGGCAAGCTGGCACACGGTGGTTCCGCTATCGTGCGGTTCTTTTGTTCCGAAGCCCGCTCGGGGTTCCACTCGGCCCTGAAATCCCGACCCCCGTCGTTTCTCCCACGCGTTTCCTGCCAAACGGCCGGAGGCGTTTTTAGAACAGCACGACGAATTCTAGAACGCAGAAAGATCTTCTAGAACGGCAAAGCGAATTCTAGAACAGCAGAAGTAGTTCTAGAACGCAGAACCAAATTCTAGAATTTCACATCGTATAAAGCGCAAACAACAGCAAATTCTACAACGGCAAAAAACTAGAACGACGATGTGAGTTCCAGAACGCAAAAAACGATTCTAGAATTCTGGTTGTCGGGTGCCAGTCGCGTGCTCGTGCACCTGCCGCGCTTCAGTCGCGTGCCCGTTCACCGGTTTGGCTCCAGTCGCGTGTTCGGGGGCCCAGAGAGTCAGCCAACCCCCCAACCAGCCATCCATCCAACCATCCAGCCCAACAGCCAATCCGCCAGCCAAACAACCAGCGAGCCAACCAACCAATAGCGAACCGCCCGGCCAATCAGGGACGGGGCGCATGCAACAGAGGTAAACACATTGTTCTACATGTCAAGAGATTTCGCGCCCGCCTGCCATTCGCAGATGCGCTGCGTGTGGATCCGTCGAGGCACTAACAACCCGCGGGTGACATCGGCGGGGCGGCAAAACTTTGTTTGAAGAATTGCCGGGTGCGAGCCATCAGCGGCGTCTGACCGCGTGCGGGCGCAATCGTAACGTCGTAGCGAAGCCAGGCGCTGCATATACGCAGGCAGCTACACAACACAAGCTTCACCCTGACATCCACCCACCCACAAGACGGATTGATTTTGGAGTTGCAAAAGCTCATATGGATTTCACCCTCAGCACTCCACCCTAAGAGAATGCTCAGATCGCTCGGACCTATAAGGATTCCTCAGGACTCATTTCAGGAATCGTCACCTCTTAGGGTTTGGACGGATTTTTTTTCGGATTCCCGAAGGGTCCTTGGGAACCGGTGGGGGAGTGCTGGGACATCGATTGGAACAGGCCGCCGACCCAGTCGTCCATTCGTGGCTCTAACAAGGTTCAGCTTGAGCATCCCCAGTAGTGGGTTGTCGTTCTGATGCGTGCTCCCCCGGGAAGCGGTCGAGGAGGAGAAAGGAGAGGAGGAGGAGGAGGAGGAATGGGATCAAAAAGGGGGGAGGAGGGGCAGGAGAAAGAGGATGATGATGATGACGATGATGGTGATCATGCTGATGATGATGCTGATAATGATGATGATGATGATGATGATGATGATGATGATGATGATGATGATGATGATGATGATGATGATGATGATGCTGATGCTGATGCTGATGCTGATGATGATGATGATGATGATGATGCTGCTGCTGCTGATGATGATGATGATGATGATGATGATGATGGTGGTGATGATGATGATGATGCGGAGGAGGAGGAGGAGGAGGAGGAGGAGGGAGGACGAGGAGGAGGAGGACGAGGACGAGGAGGAGGAGGAGGTGCAGGAGGCCAGGATGCGAAGACATTGGGGGGAGGGGAGGGAAGGGGAGGAGGAGGAGGAGGAGGAGGAGGAGGAATTCAGTGCGCACGGCGCCCCTATCTTTCAGCTCCTGTACAGCAGTGCAGGTACAGCTTCCGTACACAAGTACAAGTACAATTCGTGTGCCATAGTACAAGTACAACGCTTTTTAACTAGTTCAAGTGCAAAGTTTGTGCATAAATCACAATCACAGGTATTTAGTCCACGTGCAACGGTCGCAGTTTAGTGCAAATGCGTTTGTTTTCCCATCATTGCCTCTGCTCTCCGCATGTCATCAATCACACGTTCCGTGGCCCCATAGGGAACTCCAACGAAGACCCCAGTGGCACCGATCGCATGCATCCTTGGCCCTCTGGGGAGGCTGTCAGGGAAACTCGTGCGTTGGCTCCGCCCGGCCTTGCAGGACCAGGGCGAGGCTTCTCGCAGGGAGGACCCCCCAAGCGCCCGGCGTCCCAGCGGGGAGGAAAGCCCGCCCAGGAAGGCGGCGCGGGAGGAGCCGCCGTCAATCTTTGAGGGTGCCGCCGTCGTCGTCGGTCGTCGGCCGTCGTCGGCCGCCGCCGTTGTTGTCGTCGTCGTCGCTGGTCCTTGAGATCCAGGCGTTGCAAATTATTCACAATGGGTGTCTTCGCCCAGTGTCGGGCCCGAGGTCTTTGACAGATCGATCCGGTTCGAAGAATGCAACAGAAAAACGGGGTCTGGGGCTCCGAGCGCGATTTTTCGTTACGTTTTTTCGCGACGTCGGATCTCAGGTCTTGGTCGTCGCCGGACCCTGAGATCCGGGTGCTGTAATTTTTCCACAGTTTGCGTTTCCGCCCAGCGTCGGGCCCCGGGACCCTCACATATCGATCCAGCTCGAAAATTGCAGATGAGGTCTAGGGCTTTGTTTTTTTCTCGCGACGTCGGATCTCAGGTCGTCGTCGTCGTCGTCGTCGTCGTCGTCGTCGTGGTTGTGGTTGTTGTTGTTGTGTTGAACATTATTACTTCTAAAGAATAATTATTGTTGGGGCCCCTGGTGCACGACCCCCCCGCCACGCCTAGGCCGCAGCCTCATTTTCATCATTTTCGTGAGGAAGTCTCAGGCAAAACGGGGGAGTCCGGATCCGGTTGTGTTGTTACGATCGGTTTTCCCTTGCAAAAAATAAGCTAAAGTGGACATTTCTTGTTCTAACATAACCAAACTTCAAGAATCCCTTGCAAAAAATAAGGTAAAGTGGACATTCGCGCGCGCAAGACGAAATCCTTCCAAAACCATAGTTTTCGTAGCGATTTTAACATAAAAACATCAAACCACCAATGTTTTTTTTTTTTTTTCAAAAAAAAGACAAATTGCATTTGGTCTCATCGCTTGTGCATTCGCTTTCTCCCCTCCTGCTGCCTCTTCCCCTCAAGCCTTTCTGCCGTGAACAGTTCATGGCCGCCTGGGTGCACGCTGCAGGCGGGTGGGTTCTCGGCGCGCTCTCCGAGCGCTGGACTGGACCTGGCCGCAGCGGGATCGCCGAGGTCTCCTGCCGCTGCGTGTTCGAGGGCTCGGACACGACTGACGGCCTGGTGGCCATCCTCCGGGAGCAGCTGGCACGCTGCGGCCCGGAGCACCTGCAGGGGGTCGCGTGCCAGCCCTGCCCTCCGTGCCCGCTCCCGCCTGGGCACTACACGGGGCTCGACCTCTGCGGCGCAGCCGTGGTGGGCGTGGCCCTTGGCGCTGGGCTCGCGACCGCGGGCTGGCTGGCGGCGGGCTCGCCTGGACGGCCGGCGGCGCGAGCGCGCGCCCTCGCCGTCGAGGACGACGCCGGGGGCACGCACGTGGCGACGCCGGCGGGCCTCGGGCGTGGCCGTCGGGCTCCTGGTGCTCGTGCTGATTGAGGGCCGCGATGGCCCGTGCGCTGGACACCCCGTTCAGCCAGTGCCTCGTCAGGTACGAGGACGACGAGAACTTCCAGTGGCATCACCGTGTGCTGCTGGTGAAGGGCGATGCCCAGAAGTGGCGTCGACCTGGCCACGTTCCGTGTGCTGGCCCTTCGGCGTTCGGGGCCCTTCCCGGCTCGGCATGCGGGCAACATCTACGCCTTCGACGAGGTGGCGCCGGAGGACATGCAGGGCTACCTCGAGGAGGCCAGGGCCCTGGGGACGATCCTCGGGTTCGACCTCGCAGGCGTCGTCGGCCTCCCCGGGGACAAGTGGTACGTGAGCGACCCCACCTCGTCGCACTTCGGCGAGGAGGTGCCGCCGCAGGTCCTCGCCAACGAGGAGGTCCTGGTGCGGCGTGGGGATGTTGGGCTCGTACGGCTGGACGACGTCTGGGTCCACGCGATCAAGGTGGGCGAGGGCCAGAACTTCGACACGTACCTCGCCCGAGCTCGTGGGGGCGCGGGCCGGGACCCGCGCATCGTGGGCGACGACAGGGATCAGGATGGAGGCAGGTACATCGACTTCCGGGACTCGGTGCGCCGCATGAAGGAGGCGACGATACCGGGCTGGCCGCTGCAGGGCCGCCGTGCGACGAGGGAGGCTGTGCTTTCGCTTCGAGACGGTGGCCAGGGCAACTGGGAGGAGCACCACACCACGTGGCTCCGCCGCAGCGGAGTGGCCGAGCGCGGGAACGTCGCCCGGGAGCACCACATGATCTGCGTGTCTCTTCGGATGATGCAGCAGTTCGATCAGCTCGACCTGTTCAACATCGCGGGCGCCGAGTATCTCGTCAGACGGCTCAAGCAGCTGGAGTCGGCGACCCGCAAGAACCCTCGGGCCCCCGACTTCGAGGGGCTCGACCTCATCCTCGACACGGGGGTCGACGACACGGGCGGCATGGTGCTGCCGGAGTTCGACGGATGGGTTGGCGACCAGGCGCGTGCCCGCGCTCAGACCATGAAGGCGAATCGGCAGTGGCAGGAGGAGAGGACGGCCGCGCAGCCCAAGGCGCCCCCGAAGGGGCCGAAGGGTGGCGGGGCCGACGGAGGCAAGTAGCAGGGGGCCGGCCGGCCCCCTGCTTGGGCTGGGTGTCCTGCGGCGCCCCGCCCTGCCCGGCTGCCGCCGCGGGTTCCTCCGCCGCGGCCGCCTCCTCGTCCTCCCCATGGCATCGGGAATCGCGCTCCTCGCACGGGGACCCGCTGCCGCTTTCGGTCCCGGGGCCTGCGCCGCCGGTCGACCTCAGCGGGGCGCCGCGGTACCTGCGCCAGCGGGTGCTCCAGCGTCGCTCACGTGAACACCGTGTTCGTGAGGCAGTGCATTCGATCAACTGTCTCGCCGCCAGCACGGTGCGCCATCGCGGCCGCGGGCCAGGTGGCGCTGCCGATTCAGGGACTGCGGGTACGGCTACCTCGTCCTCGTGTGGCCGACAGCTCGGCCGCTGCGTGGCGGAGTATGGCCCTCGCCCGGCAGATCTCCACCCTCGCGGAGCCCTTCAGGAGCTCCTCAAGTCCGACTCGCTCTACGGGGGCGCGCCTTCCAAGGTCGTCCCGTACGAGGAGTCCAAGCTCAAGTTCTGGCAGTCCTCGGTCACGCCTCGAGACGTGGAGGAGGTCTGCCCCAAGATCGTCGTGGACGCCTTCCGCGACCCCGACGCCTACATCCGCAAGCCGGACCGCGCGGCGGCTGCCGCCGATCAAGCCGCACTGGGACGCGCGGCTTGCCAGCGACGCCAGCCTTCGGCGGGACTTCCTTCTCAGGCTCGCGGGGCGGGGGCTGGTCGGCTTCCGGAGGCGCATCAGATCACGTGTGGGGTGTTTCTTCGTCGAGAAGAAGGGCGGCTGGATCCGCCTGGTCGTCGACGCTCGCGACACCAACCGCACCCACTGGGCGCCGCCGCACGCCGCCCTCGGGACCCCCGCCGCCCTCAGCGAGCAGGACTGGTCCGATGCTGCGCTCTCGGTCGCTGGATGGGTCAGTGCTGATGGCTCTCCCGCTCAGATCTTCGGGTCGTCCCTCGACCTCCAGGACTCGTTCTACCAGTTCTTCTCGGAGCGCGTCGCGGAGGATTTCGGCATAGACTTCCCTGGGCGGGCCTCCTACTACCAGGTCTCCCACATCTGGACGCCCGACGGCCTGTCCCCAGTCGACCCCGACGAGCTCGTCTTCCCGGTCTTCCGCGGGGTGCCGATGGGGTGGTCATGGGCACTCTGGGCCGTGCACTCGTCCGTCACGTCCTGGGTCTCTGACACGCTGCCGGGGGGTGCCCGGCGCCTGCTGCTCGACAAGCAGCCGGCTCCCGTCGCGGCGCCCTTCCGCCCCGCGGGGTCGGTCTACGTGGACAGCGTCTCGTTCCTGGGCCTTTCGAGCGACGACGTCGGGCAGGCGCTGCAGGCCGCGAAGGACAAGCTCGACTCGCTCGGCATCGCGTACCACGAGGTCGAGGGCCCGGCCACACACTTCAGCGCCGTCGGCGTCGAGTACGACGGGAGGCGGAGGCGTCTGCGTCATTCCGATCACCGAGCCTGGCGCCTCTACTTGGCCTGTCAGGAGCTCGAGCGCCCAGGGGTCCCTCGCGCGGCCTGGCAGATCCGAGTGTTCCTCGGGCACTGTGTGCAGCACTGCCTGCTGCTGCGGCCGGCCCTCTCGATCTTCCGCCTGCTCTACCGCTTCGTGGATGCGCAGGGCCAGGGGCCCCCAGTCGCTCTGTCTGCTGGGGCCCGCCGGGAGATCCAGCTTTTCAGGGGCCTCATCTTCCAGGCCGTCGTCTTCTTGGACCGGCCGATGTCCTCCCTGGTTTTGTGCTCCGACTCGTCCGAGGCGGGCTACGCTCTCCACCGCCGACGCGCTGACGTGCGACTCCTTCGGCAGCTGGCTGCTACCCGGGAGAGGTGGAGGTTCGTCCCCGACGAGAAGCGGCCCGACGCGGCGCTCGACGACACCTTCTCCCCGGGCTGGGTGCCGGGCGCTGGAGGAGTGCTGGGGGAGCCGCCGGGCGCTACAGGCATGGCCGTCTGGGCCCCCCCGCCGACGCGCTCGAGGGAGGGCGCCCGAGGCGTACTCAAGGGTCGTCTCAGGCCCACTGTGCGACCTGCTGGCGTCTCCGTGCCCGACAGCCTCGTCGATCCCAAGGACTGGTCTCTCATCGTCGAGGGCGCCTGGCGCCGCGGGGCCCCCATCCACCTGCTGGAGGGCCGCGTCGCCCTGGGGGGCCTGCGGCGCGCCGCCCGGCAGGTCGACTGCCACGGGTCCCGCGTGCTCAGCCTGGGCGACAACATGTCGGAGCTCCTCTCCATCGAGAAGGGGCGGGCCGTGGACCTCGGCCTCGCCTGCCTGTGCCGGAGGGCCGCCGCCTACCAGATCGCCTGCGGGATCTCCTGGCGGCGCCGACACCTCGACACGGACCGCAACCTCAGTGACGCGGGGTCGCGGAAGGCGCTGCAGGGCGTCTACCGCCCGGGGCAGCGGCGGGTTGGCGGCAGGTCGGACGGGCCCACTCTGCCCGCGGGCTGCCCGCCGCCGGCGGCCACGACGCCGGCCCCGCCGGCGCCCTCGGCGACCGCCAGCTGGCCCGTCGCCGAGGAGGCTCGTGA